TGCTTCTGCTTCTGCTGCTGCTACCGCTACTGTAGCGCGCTACCGCTACTGCGCTGCCGCTACGGCTACCGCTGCCGCTGCTGCTGCTGGTACTGCTGCTACTGCGGCTACCGCTGCCGCTGCTGCTACTGCTACTGCTGCTACTGCTACCTGCTACTGTTTTATTGTTGCGACTGCTGCTGCTGCTGCTGCTGGCGTGCTTCTTCTTCTTTGCTTCTTCTTCTGCGCATGCTTCACTTAGGCTGAGACGTCTTGCGCGTGTTTCCAGATCATGACGTGTCGGTGCATGGAACTTCCACAATCAATCAGTCAACCGTCATGGCCTTCTCCTGTGCGTCAGGCAGCGGGATGCTGCAGTGGTTTCGCCACACCCACCTTTTCGATCATCCAGGAATTGCAGGCGAGGGGCATCGCTTGAGTACCTACTAAGTGAGAGAGGTTTTTCGCATTGGCAGGCCTGGACATCTTGTGGGACGTTACCGATGCGGACATAGTCTTCAAGGAGGCATATGACATGACTCAGTGATGCGTGCAGGGAGTCGAGAAGGAATGGCTGTTGAAGATTTGGAATCGGTGAATGGCTTGCGAGACTCTGGCCCATTTCTCGGAGGACCCTCTCCGCAATCTCCATACCAAGAGGGCTCAAGCGGGCTGCAGGCACCAGCATCCTCAGATCCAGAAAAGGCAAATTGCTCTGTGGCCATTGCAGGCGCATCGAAGACGTGAGCGCACGCTCAGGCCTGGACCGGACTAGGTCAACAAACGCACACGCACACACATTACATTCGTTCGTTTCATACTGAGTCAGACCAGACATCTTGAGAGCTTGATTGCAAAAGAACCGGCTTGGTGGCCAGATTGTGCAAGGCCTCCGCGCTTCGCAGGACGCTGGACTAGCTCGGGTTTCTTGTTGCTGTGCCTAACGCTTGAAGAATCTTGAAGAAAGGGACAACAGGTCGCCCTTCCATTGCCTGTTCTGCATCCATTTTCAGTGGGACGAGGTGGAGCTATCTTTTCCTGTTCCGACAACAAACGCGCACTTAGATTCGTTTTGGGGCCTGGGAGGCTGTAAGTCCGAATCCGAAACACCATTGCGCATGAACATCTTCGTGGTCGTCAAAGGCCCCAGGAGAAGTTGATGAATTGTGCTGCCTTTTCGATCTGGGTCGGGGTATGTCGGAGCAGCTTAGAAGCACCAGACGGGCAACCAAGGCCTCGAGAGCTTCAATAGCAAAGCATTTTTCCTCAGGGGCTGAGTCCTGGCTAAACTCAAAACTTGAGGAAGCTGGTAGATCAATCCATCGCACCGGGCAAGGGTGAAGGCTTCCGTTGATTCTCGGCCCGCTGTCATGGTCGACGATGGGCTCGGTTTCTTCCATTGCGTTCATCTTCAGGATGCTTTCTTGGGCGACCTCACGGAGCTTTTCGTGCAGCTGAGCCAGGCAGCTTTGCCTTTGCAATGTTCACGGTCAGTTGATCCGCGCCACGGAAAGGCCACACTGGCGGAAGGCGTCCATGGCGCCGCGAGCGCCTGCACTGTTTGGAAGAGGCCCCAAAAGCCGGACTGACGAGTCTCGAGCAAGAAAGCCGCTGCAAGGACTTTCATGAGCGAGCCCCTCTTTCGCCAGTACATCCAGTGCCTTGGACAATCTTGGACACTCTAAACTTGACATTGCCAGAAGCCACAGAAAGTGCAGGTTCTTGGAGGATGCTGTCGGTGGAGCTACAGAGGCCGCCCTGCGATTCGATGCCCTGTCGGTGCGGAATTTCGGCATCGAGTTGCTGCATCGACAGGCGCTCTTGCCGGTGGTGCTGCTTGCGTTTCTTGAAATTGCCCGAGTGGTTACTGCCTAGGCTTTGACTGAACAACACCATCATAAGCAATGCCGAGATCTGGTGCAGTTGCAAATTTCTGTCTTTTTTTCCTGTCGCTACGTGTGCTGGCAATCTATCTCCTCGAGCTATGTTGCAAGTGGGATAAACATCCTTGTTGCGGCTTTTCGCGCCACTGGCCGGGAATCTGCAGAATGCCACAAGTTGGCTGGATTCGCCTTGGTTGGACTGCAGATTGGAGAGTTTTCGTTTGGACATCATGGATAGCATCTCTTTCTCACTAATTTTCCAAGCAATCCGGACGCGTGGGTTCGAAAGCAACGCGATCGCCTGTCTGTGAGTCAGGTGAAATGCCACTAAGACGAATAGGATGTCGATCAATAGGATGTAGATCGCACAATACTGTCATCTTACGTAGAGTTTAGAGTGCAGGTCTTTGTGCGACCATCGAGCAACTACTTTAGACACGTGCAGGATCCAAAGAATGTCGCCGAAACATTATTCTCGAGACACGAATGCGATCACAATTTCATGTCAAGAGGCAGTTCCGGAATCTCCATCGTACGATCCAGGGCAAAATACGCCGGAGCTCTTTTCCGGATCGCGCCGTCGGATCATAAGGAACTCACGATTCCACGAAGTACTTCCTGAAATGTGGTGAGTATTGGAACCTGCACTGTTGCTTCCTAGCCTACCCAATCGCAATTCGTAGTCGCACCGAAAACTCGTTTTTGTCTCTCCACATTTACCTGGCGCCGTGGAACATAAAACTTCCAGAACGGTACGAGAAACACCCGAGCGTCGCACAACTTGAAGCAGATGGTTTGGGGCCAAGGGTACAGCGGCTTAGGGGCTTTTGGTTTCGTGCAAAGGCCGTGAGCATTAGAGTGAACCGGTAGTAGCGAGAGACTTTGGAGCTAACGGCCTGCCAGGTTCGTGGGACTCAGCTACTGCACCTCGGTTTGAGCTTGCAAGCGTTTCTATTGTCATCGGTGCTGTTTTCACTAGAAAGTTAGAGGAAAGACTATTCCAACTAACAGATTTCCCATGATTTCCCTAAGGTTGCTGGAATGAAGAGCTTTCAGCCTTTGCTTGCGACGTCATCGTGCCTGGAGTAGGTATCGCGATTCTGTAGAGCAGATCTTTGGAGAATCGCTCCGCCCTGGCGGTTTGGCATGCCACGGTGAAGATACGTCCGAGGACCACGACTGCGAAGCACACGGGAACTCATCGCGGACGGCGTTGTTAGGCAAGGGGGCCAGGCAACGGCTGCGTGCACGGACGTGGGACTGGACGTGACGGACGTGACAAGCAGCAAGCGGGGGACATCTGCATGGCGGGACGACCGTCGCGTCTGGTGAAGGGGATGCAAGTGGAGGCCGGGGAAACGGATGAGGCCGGCGAGGAAGCTGCTGGGCAGGTGCTTGACTCATGGCTTGCCGGCGAGAAGGGCCCAGCTGTTGTGAATTTTTATTCTGTTGTTGTTTCTTCACAACTTTTCCACCTGAGCCTGAGCGGTGCAAAGACTCGATTGTGTTTCATTTGGGCCGATCGCCCGACGTCAGCCACTTGTCAGGTCTGGACTCCAGCCGTCTGAAAGCCTCTAGGCTCTGAGCCACATGCATCACATGTGCATCGATCCGTATGCCGTTCCCTCAACAAGCTTTTACCTGCTGGACAACCACTCCGACTCCGCATGCTGCGGTGTTGAACACTCTGAAGACCAAGCAGTCAGCAAGTTAGATCACACCAGAGCTGGTCCTCACCAGAGGGCTGCAGGCCATGGCGGCTGTGCTTCGGTCCAGCTTGCAGAGGCTTGATTTGGGTGTTGCTGTGCTATGGCATGGGATCCTCTAGAGTTGCTTGATGGGTTTCTTTCGATCGCAGAGAAAGCAAGTTCTGAGAAGAGTCGCGACTGCAGCTACTCCAATGTGTGATTCGCATCCTTGAGCGCGGCTGAGCGCTGCCTTTGAGCTTGCCACTCCTCTTCTTGCAAAGCTTCTTTCAGGCTGCGAAAAAGTCGCGCCACTGCTACCTCGCGAGGTCCGTCTGGGCATGGCATGCTTGTTTCGGATGCAGAATGGACGAACAGAGCTGGCCAGGATGTGCTGCCATGGCCCGCGAAAAGACCAAGAAGACTGAAGCCAGGCAGGTCGTCTGACCTAGGTTTGGACAATTCCAAGATTGCCCGGTCTGCCGCGGCTTTGAGCAGGTCACCGTTACTTGAGTTTCAGCTCGACGCACGGGAGGTGCTCTGCTTCTGAGCCAGTCCTTTATCAACACAAAGGCTCCTTCAATGAAGCGCAGGTCAAGCACATGGCGCCCCATGTTTTGGCGTCAGCCATCGCGAGCGCAGGCGCAGGCCCATCCTCACAGTCCATGGCCTTCGCCACGCTGCATTCAGATGAGTTAAGTACTTGGGAGTGCACCGTAATTCCCAGGCCGCCATACTTCTCCAACCCTCTGGCGCGCCTACGCTGCGCGTGCCTCCGAAGTTCGGAGGCGGTTGACGCTCCGCGATCTGAGGTGCTTGGATGCATCAGTAGAAGAACTCTTGGTTCCTTACTGAGTCTACTGGAAGACGTTCGAAGATCAGATCCTGTCCCCAGGAGGCTCTTCCAGGGACATGCCGCAGCTGGCAAGAAGGATGCGTCACTTGAGTCCAAAGATTGCAGATTCCCACAGTCCTACAGTGTCAGCTCTCAGCTAGTCTCGCATCCTTGAAGCCCAAAGTTCCCGACCAAAACGAGCTTCCCATCGCAGCACCCTGCCTGAAAGCACAGGACATTTCCCTTTTTCGGGATCTTCTAGACGATGCGTCGTGGAAAGGACAGCGGACATGAGTCTGCCGCCGTTCAACACTGTAGTCGGCCGAAAATCTTAGAAACGAATCATGGCAAGTGGGATAGCTGACCGGAGAGTGCCGAGATGATTACAAACCATTCACAAGCAGCCAGGTTCTTGTGTTGTTGCATCTCTTCCAACATCTTGCAACAGAAGTTGGTCCGATCCAGCACGCCCGGCTGATTACTTGATAATGACAAGCAGAGTGAGCGGGAAGAAAGAGTGGACGAGCTCGACGGACGTGAAGCCTGCATGCAAGCACGCAACGTGTAAAGCCTGAACCGATTGCGAATCAGTTTTTGAACAAGCACTCTGCACGTTGCGTTTACTGTTCTCGTTTTTGGCGCGTTCAGGAGATCCACAAGCTTCAGCCAGAGACCTCTGCTTTGTGGCGATTGCCCTGGCTAAACTTAGGCCGTCAAGTTTGATGTGTCCTAAGAAGCTCACATACCATGCGAAAATAACGTGGAGGGAACATGTCTCCTCTTCTGCGTCCCATCCAATCCAGTCCCCAGGTGCAACAACGACATCTTTGAGGCTGTGACCACTCACTTTGCAGAAAACACCATGGACGACTTAGAGAGCATCGATGTTAGCAGCTTGGCGAACGCTTTTTCCAGAGTCGCCCTCACGCACAAAGTCTGCTGGGCGAAAATTTCTCAGCGTCTTCGAGCCGATGCTTCATCTGCGCTGCTTCCGCCTGCAGCTGCTACCATGGCACTGAATGCCTTTGCTGTTGTGAAGCAATGCGACTCCGAGCTTTTCATGTCCGTGGTGGACAGTTCCATCAGGCCGGGAGCATCCCTCGGCGCGTGTCCAGCAGAACTATTACGGGCTAGGGCGGTTACGGCGGCTCGGGCGCGCCTGTGGGGCTTCTTGAATTGCAAACGCCACAGTCTTTTGCTGGGCCAGGCCTTGCATAGCCGACTACACGATCACACAGGCGGCCCTGCTCCTGGATGCCCTTGCTCGTTGCAGCAGCGTGACCCTCGGCTCGAGAGGACCTGGGAAATCTCAGCGTCACTAAAAGTATTGCGAGTGCTTTGCGTTGCGAGAGAGGCTTCGAAGAAAGCCGATCGAGAAATAACTGAGTGCATTCTGCAATCAGTGTGAGTGTGATGACACGCAGAAGTCGTGGTGACGGCACGAAGCACCGCAAGTCGGCGTCCACATCTGGATCCGCAGCTTTCGATTTGTTTGGTGCGCATTCCGGACGATAATCGAGTTCTGCCACAGTTCGGTGCGCGACCCGTCCACCGCAAAAGCCGATTTCGTTCAAAGTAAGGTCCAATACTTTGGGGCAATTGCGGTCTTCAGAGCACTCGATGTGTGTGAAGTCCGATACTAATTATTCTGCCTCTCGGGCTCTGCGAGTCGTGCCGTTATGTAGTGCCTCTAAAGCTCTCAACGTGACTCAAGTCCCAGCGATGCGCGCTATTCCCCCTCTGGGCTTGGCGCTGTGCCGTCGGGCTAACCGCCGGTCTTAGCAGCGGTGTAGGAACGTTCTCGGGACGTGGTACTGGTGCTCCGCGGCCGTGTTTTGCGGGCTGATCATGCTGAAACCCTTGCATGCTCGCC